CCTGTACACTCCGGAAATTTCCGGCTCGGGGTGCGTTATCGTCGAGAGATTCCTCTGGCCGCCTTTCCGGAAGTTCCCACAGGAACTCAAACGGACCGGCAACTATTTCCGCCCGGCGGCCGCCATCTTTCTTCGCCCAGGGGCGAAAACGTGGGGACACCATTTATTCCGCGTTCGCAAATTCGCATTAGCGAGTTGAACGAGATACGTGCCCTTTCCGCCGAGGAAGTTTGTTGTCGCGATGAGAGAAAGCCGGGGCCAGAGGGAGCGAGGGAAAGAGAAAGACTAGGAGGGAAATTCGGGCGAGAAAGGGAGAGGAAGGATCGACTAAGTCGCCCGGACATCTCAGGAAGAGGATGGCGGGTGGCCGGAAGACGGGATAAACGAGACGGAGATGAAGATTTCAAGTGGTTCCGACCGCGTTGCAATTTACTCGCGAAATACCGGCTAACTAGAAACGACAGGGCCAATGGGCCGCCATCTTGGCCCGGCGTTACAACTTAAAGCAGCGATTTCGCACCTCCTCTCTTCTCCCATTTTCCGCCCTCCTTTTTCTTTCCGCGGGTCTGTCTCCCCAGATAAGAGGTCTCGAGGAACGGATAAACCGGCCAAGATGGGCACATCCACGGTGGGGGAAGAAGTAGTTATTTATTTACATAATTATTTATTCGCGTACATTCCCAACCCCGTGGAATGCAGGGCACCCCGTGCCCTCGGTACGCAGCCATAACTCTCGACGGTACTCACCCTCTCCCTCTCCTCCGAGCTCGAGAGCTCTCGGTGCAAACTTCTAATTACACCGCGGTCGCATTAACTGCAATAATGTCTATAAACCGTTGTTATTTCGAGCTTCCACGTTCACGGTGCTTTAAGTTGCCCGCCACCCCCTTTGGGCGGCCAGGGACATCCACAATGGAGACGATGCCCGAAATAGCGATACACCCCCGCGAGATCGGACAGACGAGGGACACACGTCGCGTGCGGAATTACGTCTCCCTCGTTACATCTTCATAATCCGAATTACCGGCCCCTCGGTACCCTAAGTACCGGAGGCGCCGATTCGGTCCGCGAAGGGAAGAGAGCGAAAGCTCGGACCTCCCAAGGGAGGGCCCCGTAATCTGGCCACGTGGAGGAAGAGGAAGGGAAATAGAGTAATAGAGGGATTGAGAAATAGAGAAACGAGAGAGGGCGACAAGGGGCAATGGGCAGTCCGACGGAGAGGAGACGCTCGCTTAGTTCGGCGAGCGTTAATTGGAAAGCTCTCGCATGGCTGCGAAGTACGACTCGCTCCGGGCTCGCCGGGAAAGTTGATGAATTCCCTAATGAAATTTATGCTTCCCGAGGACAGGGGCGTGTTATGCGAAACGGTGACTAAAGCTCGCTCTCGTACGGCGCGCCGAAGCAAATTAAGCTCCGTGCACGCGGGGGGAGTGCGTGTGCGGGGCTTACGCGCCGGGGCATCGCCGGGACGGCGGCGGAACGGCGACGGGACGGCCGCGCGGCCGCCGAAGTTTCCGATCCGAGGGACGTATTTGCCGAGTAAATACGCTGAGAAATTCCGCAGCATCCGGTTGTGTTTACCCGTTTACATTAAGCCGCGAGGGCGACGTCGTCTCGCGGGAACTTCGCCGCCCGACTCGCCTCCTCCCATTAATTCGCAACCCTGCGACAACTTCCGGGATTCGAGAAAATCGCCGACCTGAGGGGCCCGATGAATATTCGATACGTCTCCGGATAGGACACTCGAGAATTAGTCGCTTAAGGTGAAGTGAAACATGTCGAGGAACTTGATCGACGTCGATAAAGAAGATCTTTCTAAATACCTACGTTGCCGATGTTGGTTTTTATATCGACAGCTGGGTCGAATTATATTGGGTATTGTACCAAGTGGCATACTCCACCTGTCGTTTTCGTACAATAATTATAAAGAAATCAAAGTAAAACTCCAGAAATCCTCTGGATTCTTGCTTCCTGGGGCCCTCATTCACTGCAGAGGGACCCCCTGCGCCATCTGTGATTTTCAGGTCAATTAAATTTTCACTTCGAGACCTCGTATTCCCATCGTTTTGGCATAGAAGCGCATACAACACTTTTTTTGCCTTTGTCCCATTCAAATGCGAGTTTATCGATTACCAGATTGTTCTAAATTGTTGTAAAATTGTCCTGACCCTTTCGATTCTCATATCAGAGCCTTCGATAATTGTATATTGATGGAAATATGAGAACTCGACGCCATTTTGATTCTGGTCTGGGCAGAGTTAAAAAATTTGTTGGAAAAATCCAAATTTTGAATGCGTCAGGACAATTCTTAGATGATCAGGAGTGACGTGTCAAAGTTTCGGACAGTTTGGTCTAATACCCTTAAAAAAAAGTGTTGCATTCGTATCGACTGATTTGAAGGGTGTTTCACTTCACCTTAACCCTGATCCTGATTTTGAATTTTTTTTATTTTTTCGAGAGCAAGAGAGAGACGATAGGCCTCCAAGGACCCTATTCTCGAATTCATAAGATCTACACTCGCAGGCGAAAGTAACAGTTTCGTGTGCGACTTTCATACGTTGACCGATGACGCGACTTCGCAAGAATGCAAAATTTTTCATGCGAATCTCCGTATGAGAATGAAAAATCCGGATGAACTCGAGAATCAGATCCCAGAGCCAGTGACCGCCGAGGGCTTCTAGAAAGGAACGATGAATCACGTTGTCCAAGTTTCCCGCCTTTGAATCTTAATTAAATTTCCAATGAGGATGAAGGATCTCCGGGCTGTGGCTATAACTCTCTTAAAGAAGTTTCAACGACGGATGGACCGAGCAAAGCGCTCTCGCGGCAGACGCGAGATGGTTTTCTCGAGGGATGAATCGTAGTTAATAAGTACGGATGAGGGAACATCACCGAACGTAGATCTCCGATCGACACTTAGCTTCGATCGCTCAAAAATCCAATGAAAAGTGAAAATAACGATGCCGAGTTTTCTGTTTTCCCGATATACAAGTTTTCCCCGGACGTCGACGGCAAACGCGCCACGCCTCTGATAATCGATACATACTTTATCGGCGGATTAAAAAGTCAAATAATTCCCCGATGCTCGATAAAAATCCTGCTCTTTAGTTCATAAAGAAATTCCTGGCAGGGGGTAATAATTCTCGAAAAAAAAGTTTATCAGCTATCGGCCGACCCGGGACAAAAAGGGTCGACTATCCCGGGCGTATCCTACGTGTGAAAGGCTCTCCGGATACCGTCCCCCGTTAATAATTTCTCCTGCGGCGGTTGTGCGGACCTCTGAACCCTTTAATATACAGAGGGGCAATTAAACGCGAGGATTCAGCGGCGGAAGAGCCGCGGACGCGAAAAAGTTAGGAAACCGCGGACTTGGAAAGCGCCGAGTAATCCTTTTCAGGATTCCGCGGCGACGTTCAAGGAGCTTTCCTCTCGTCATGGTGGGATCACCCCGCGGCCACGTGCCTCCGGAATAGTTCCGGAGCTTGACCGAGGGAGCTTGCGACTATAACTCACCTCGGGATACAGCGGAGCCGAAAGTCACCACTCGACTGTCGGAAAAGGTGGAGCATGAATGGAATAATTCTCCCGGCTCTACCTGAATGGTACAAAAGTAGAATTAACGCCCGGAAAATTGTGCCAAATCGCGGTCTCTTAGCGAAAACGCTCACCCTCCGTGAAACGAGGTAAAAGTGAGCACGCGTCATCGGAGGGTCGGATTGGATTTTTCCTGAAGTTGCAGGGACCTCGACTATAAACGTCGTCCCTCCCCTGGAAAGCGATTAGAGGTAGATATAAGGCGAAAAAATGTAGAAATGAGCAAGCCTTTCCTCCCGGGTGCATTTTGGTTCGAAAGGAAAAAATCCAACGATCAAGGGAGACTAGAGGGCGATTAATTTCTTCTCGAGGCTAAAAGAGAAAGAAGACCTAAACACTCCTAACGGGTAGAGGACGAAAAATGAAGGCGAAGTTCAAGAGGCAGGATATGGAAAAATCACGAACCGCCTGTGGCGTTTATTTTTTTAGAAGGCGATACGACGTATATTCTTAATTAATTATTTATTTAATAAAAATCGAGAGATCGAGGGGTGAAAGCGGGGAGAGGTTAGAACCGATTAGAGTCGAATGACGATGCCTTCGGCGAGCAAAGGAACGAGTCCGCGGCACTTTCTTCGGGCACGAAGACGCAAGATGGCGGATCGGAAGCCAAGGAGGTGCCGGGAGGGCGAACAAACGAATTTAGAGGACGGGAGAGGGTGCCGCATTAATATCCGAGGCATTGTCTCGCGATGAGGGGGCAAAATTCTCGGGAAATGGAAAGGAAATGTGTTTGTCCAACTCGGTTCGCCGGCCGTGGCGCGGCACTGCGAGCGCTTTGCCGTCTGGTACCTCTCAGTCTCTGTTTCCTGCTTTTTCTCGGCTCTCCCCGATCCATTCCCCGCCGTTTTCCCTCCCAGGCTTCATCTTTCATTTTCCTCGGAGAGCTCCGAAACAGAGGAACCCCCGAGATAAGGACTCCCCCGCAAAGAGCACATGCGAACTTTCGAGCCGAGGAGATAAAAACTGAGTACGCGAGCCGAAAGCTTTCGCAACGGGACGCCATGGCTTCTTTCTCCTAAGCGGGGAGGAGTTATCGCCTCGAAGCAGGACGTTATCTTCTTACTCCGCTTTTCGGAGAACACATCCAGGAATTTTATTTTCGTTATTCGCGGATTTATATTTCTAAATCCTGGCCGCGTCCGGCCTGGGTCGCAGCCTCCGATTTTTTCCCCTCGTTTCCAGTCATCCCCCTTTGATATTTTCCTAGAAGGAGGTCCGACGCGTCTCTTTGTGGGCGTCCGCCGGGGAAAACGACATTTAATGGGACGTCTTCAAAGGGCGGAACTTGGTGACGGTGGATCCTTAGGTGCGAAAACCTTGAGCGAGGGGAGAGGAGAGCAGTCTGACATGGACGAAGCGGGAACGTTTAGGCATCTAATGGAGGCTGGATTTCGATTTTCCAGGCGGAGCCTGCCCTGATGTACGACAGCGTGCAAGTCTTCGCAGTCGGCCTGAGGACGTTGGAGCAGTCGCACGCACTCAGACCTGCCAACCTCTCCTGCGAGCTGGAGCACCCCTGGGACGGCGGACTCTCTCTCATCAATTACATCAACTCGGTGAGCACTTATTCTTCACCTGTGGTATCGGCGAGCCCCCCCTCGAGATTTCTACCGCAGACATTTTTAACGGTCGTAACTAATTTATTACGAGAGAGTGCGGAAGGTGATAGATCTCTCGGTGGCTTCCTCCCTGGAGATGTTGACTTCGCCCTCCTCTTCCAGTCTGGGCCGATCCAACGTACGAGACCCACCTATAAAAAGTCTCGATAATCTCACCGTTTAAGGTGAAGTGAAACACGTCGAGGAACTTGGTCGACGTAGAGAAAGAAGATTTTTCTAAATACCTACGTTGCCGACGTTGGTTCTTATATCGACAGCTGGGTCGAATTATATTGGGTATTGTACCAAGTGGCATACTCCACCTGTCGTTTTCGTACAATAATTATAAAGAAATCTAAGTAAAACTCCAGAAATCCTCTGGATTCATGCTTTCTGGGGCCCTAATTGACTGCAGAGGGACCCCCTGCGCCATATGTGATTTCCAGGTGAATTAAATCCACTTCGTATTCCCATCGTTTTAGCATAGAAGCGCATACAACACTTTTTTTGCCTTTGTCCCATTCAAATGCGAGTTTATCGATTACCAGAGTGTTCTAAATTGTCGTAAAATTGTCCTGACGCCTTCGATTCTCATATCAGAGCCTTCGATAATTGTATATTGATCGAAATATGAGAGCTCGACGCCATTTTGGTTCTGGTCTGGGCTGAATTAAAAAATTTTGTTTAAAAATCCAAATCTTGAATGTGTCAGGACAATTCTTAGATGGTCAGGAGGGATGTGTCAAAGTTTCGTACAGTTTGGTCTAATAACCTTAAAAAAAAATGTTGTATTCGAATCGACTGATTTGAAGGGGGTTTCACTTCACCTTAAGCAAACTAACGAAAGCAACGCTTTCCGGGGCGCTTATTCTTCCAAGTTCTGGTCGAGATTGCCGTTGAAGTTTCTGGGCTATCTCCAGCCTCCGTGAACGGTCCATGGTGGGAGTTGGTCGATGGCCAAGCGATGATATTCCGGATTCGCTGAGGGAAATACCCGCGGCGGAAAAACGAGGAGGTGGACTTTATCTTCGGGAGGGTGGAAGGCCTCGTTAAGGCAGGTCCGGGCCGAAATGGACGCGCTCGAATACGTGGATCAAAATCTCGGCCCGGACCCGGGTTACGATGGAAAGAGCAGCGGAGCGCGAAACTAACTTCGGGTGTGAAACACGATCGAATAATCGAGGTCGACCCGCGATGATGGAAAATTACGCGGGAGCTGAAAAGATTTGACAAAACGGGACCTGGGGCGTTTTTCCGCCCGAAATTTTCATCAGCGCCAGCCTCGCGGCGATTCTCCGCCACGGACTAACCGCGGATAAATTGTTTAATACCCCGAACGGCTCGAAACCTGTCCGGAACAGAAACCACAAATCCTTCCGTGCTTCCCTCCCCGTGGGAGCAGGGTGTTCACGCGTGTTCGCGTCAGGAGATTCCGCGACCCGACTAACCAAGGGAATTACCATTTGGAAGTCGCTCTTATCTACCTGACTCCACGAAAAACCCCTAATTAAAATGTACTTCGAGCCGCGGTTTATGACCCGATTTTTCCGGGGGTCTCGGTGACGTTTGAACGCCCTCGGATTAATTCTCGTGACCCGACCGTGCGGCACGTGACTTTTGTGCCACGTGGTAAGAAGACAAAAAGCTTCGAGGGTGGTCATGCGAGGACGACACGTGTACGTATGTACCGAGTAGCCGGCATATGCGTATAGGTCCTCGCAAAAATGCCAGTCGTAACCGCGGTTATGTTCCGCCCGTGACCGGAGGGTAATTATGCTAATTCCACGACCACTAATGCGGACTCATGCATATGTATGCGAAATCGAGATCATTACGCCGGGGTGGTAGAGACCTGTTTATAGTGTGCTTCGTTCTCCGGGACGCCAACCCGGAATGCCGAAAAACCAAGGGAACCCGAACAAAAAGGAACTGCCGAGAGAAGCAGAATTTGATGGGGCGGATTTCGGAGATACTAATTTTCCCGCCCAGGGAAAAGAACGTCTCGGAAACATTTTTTTTTTGTTTTTAATAACGCGGAATCGTGAAGCGATACACCTTTTTAATTTACTCGACAATAAGACAGAGGCGAACGGCTCGAGTGAAAAGTGCACCGACTAAAAGCCTCCGGTCGATTAAAACGTCCTCGAAATACCCCCGATACCTCGAGCGTCATTAAAGCGTTCTTTTTCGTCGACTCGCAGAATTTCTCCTGACTATTCCACTCGCGAGACGACGTTCGGTCTAATATCGGGACCGACTTTGGTCCGGCGAGGAAGGCGTTAATCGGCGATATTCGAGAGCCAGCGGACACCGTCCCGGCACTTATGCACAGCTATTAATTTAATAGCGCCACCAAGAGCATCCAATATCGGCCCATCCCCTTACTTCACCGTACAACCCTCTCCTCTAATCGACTACCGGAATATTTGCACCCCATCCGGTGACCAAGATGTGCGGAATTCCGGAATTCCGCATACCGAGCGCACGCCTCCACATGCCGGAAGTTCGACGATCACTCGCTGACACCTTCACTCCCCGTCTCGAATCGATCATGGAGGGTCTTTAATGAATATATTCATATCTCCTTAATGCCCGAGGGAGGACCCCTGCCAAAAAATCCACCCCCAGGATTTTTCAATAGCCCCCAAAAACCCTTCGCAACGACCCGGTCCATCTCGAAGTCGAGTCGGAGTTGGATGCAAATTTCGGACGACAATCGAGACGTGGAATGGTTCAGGATCCGGGGTTAACCCTGACGACGAGGCGCAATTGGGCAGGACCAACAGGTCTAGCAATCGGACCTTTAATGAATATATTCATACGCGCTTAATGTCAGACACCGGTGCGTCGGATGCATTCACATCGGAAAGTTCGCGCGTCCTCTACGCGAATTTCCGGCAGGAATCCCAAAATTTGTTAGACATTCCCCGACGAGGGCGACCGAAGGTCTTTCTCGGTTATGGAATTTAATTATGACACTTTTGCCGGAACGTATCGCGACCGTCAAATCGCGGCGAAAAGCGCAACCTCCAACGGTGCGTATTCGCGCACCCGCGACGCCCAAAAAAGCGCAATGTTTCGGCTGGTCGCTTCCCGAAATTGCACAGTCAATCGTTCGTCCGCGACGAGCTTTAACGCTTTCTCCTCGTACGAATACACCGGGGGGAATTGCTGCACGCTGCCAAATATCCCGCAAGGCCTCTCGGATGATGACCATTTTCCAAATTCTCCCATCTACTGGCCTAGTCGTTTTCACAAATACGGAGAGAACGCTCGGCGCCTCGATGTCCCTCGCATTCACCGGGCTCGGAATTAAGGTGAAGTGAAACACGTCGAGGAACTTGATCAACGTCGATAAAGAAGATTTTTCTCAATGCCTACGTTGCCGACGTTCGTTTTTACATTGACAGCTGTATCGAATTATATTGGGTATTATCCCAAATGGCATACTCCACCTGTCGTTTTCGTATAATAATTATAAAGAAATCTAAGTAAAACTCCAGAAATCCTCTGGATTCATGCTTTCTGGGGCCCTAATTGAATGCAGTGGTACCTCCTGCGCCATCTGTGATTTCCAGATCAATTAAATTTTCACTCCAAGACCTCGTATTCCCATCGTTTTGGCATAGAAGCGCATACAACACTTTGTTTGCCTTTATCCCGTTCAAATGCGAGTTTATCGATTACCAGAGTGTTCTAAATTGTCGTAAAATTGTCCTGACCCTTTTGATTCTCATATCAGAGCCTTCGATAATTGTATATTGATCGAAATATGAGAGCTCGACGCCATTTTTGTTCTGGTCTGGGCTGAATTAAAAAATTTTGTTTAAAAATCCAAATCTTGAATGTGTCAGGACAATTCTTAGATGATCAGGAGGGATGTGTCAAAGTTTCGGACAGTTTGGTCTAATGCCCTTAAAAAAAAGTGTTGTATTCGAATCGACTGATTTGAAGGGGGGTTTCACTTCACCTTAAGGAAGAGCGGAAAGATTAGAAGAAATTCCCGGAGAGGCGACGGGAATGCACTTTTCCGGCACCGTAGAAACGCACCGCGCGCTATTAACGGCGCCGCTCTGCAATGCTAATGACAGCGCGGCATTTAGACGCCATTTGGAAATGCGCCAGCTCTCCGATTTCGCGGAGGCGCCCTATTAGCGACCCTCGTCACGTAAGGCAGATATTCAATTCCTGGGAGGAGCGTCGCGACGCACCGCGTCTTACCGCGAGGATCCGCAAGCCCGGTGTCCCGTAATCGCGGATCCACCCTCTGTCGACGGAGACGTGCCCAGCGGCTCGATTTCCCCGGAATCGCGATGCCGTCTTCGATGAATTAAATATTATAATTGGCCGTAGCGAGAGGAGGGAGCCGTCCTAGGGTCCCGAAAATCTCGGCGAAGCCAGGGGGGACGCGAAAACGGCCCCAAGGCGACGACGCGCGTCGGCCTCGGCGGCAAAGTGCCATTACACCATGGTCCTAACTATGTCAAGGGGAAACTGGAATTGCGGCGTATAACTAAGTTAGTTAACGGTCCCTAATGGGCATTTCGAGGTCCCGCTAAATCCTCCAGTTAAATTACCGTCCAGCCGAGTGGCTTAATTGAACCGAACGAGAAGTAATTGCCACGGAAAACTAATGCCCCTCCCTTTCAAGGAGAGGGGACCGACTTTCCACCCCGGAAGATCCATCGACTGGTTCGAAAGGAAGAGTACGGGAGAGGGCAAACGAGGAAATCGTTATCGGTGTCGCAAGGGGCGTCCGAATCGTGCCGCGAATGCAACGCGTGCAGTTATAACGCGACGTCGTCTCGTTGTCGCAAATATCGCCCGCGAGGGGAGACCGCGATATCGGGACAAAGCGACTGGAAAATCGGCAGGAATTTCCCGCCTCAAAGGGAGCCTTAATGAGGAAGCGCGAGTCTCTCGGTTCGATCGATCGGCCTCGCGGATCAATCGCCACCTCGTGCCCCTCGATTTCGGGAGGTCCACGGATCCTGGCGAGGCGGGTCGTTTCCAGGGTTATCCTCGAAAGTCGGGACGCGTCCTTCGAGCGGGCCCGTTTTCGCAGGAGTTAAAAGTTCCAGGAACTTGATCCACTTTTTGACCAGCCCCGTCCGACGCCGACACCCGGGAAATCCGGGGCACGTAAGGCGAGACTCCACTGGGCTAAATCCACAAAACTACCAGACAGTGCTTTAAGCCGGGTTCTCATATTCCAGGCGCGTGCCGAGGATATTCCGGCCAGTCGAGTCCTCCCCAGTCGCGACTTCCCCTCTCTCTCCCTCTGCCCAGTTTCCTCCTTTTTCCTCCTCAAAGGCTCATAATAACAAATTACAATCACGAGGAACTCGGAGCTATTTTCCACTCCGGCCGCGCGAGGGACTTCGGATCCTCGGCCGGGGATGCTGGACACGCGCGACATTATGACGTTATGAGGGATTTATCTACCCCCGTGATCGAGGGTGCAAAGGAAACTGCGGAAACGTCTCCTTTCGATTCGTTCTCGATGCGTTCGATGTTCGAAAACGTCTCGATTTCGATTTTCCTCCCCCGAGCCCTTTCCACCCCCTCTCTGGCTTCGGTGCATACATTACTGGCATACACCCCCAGAGTCCGACCGGAGTCTCTGTACACGTGTGCCGTAAATACCCTATTCGAGGTACCATGGTAGATATCGACTGATATCGAGTCCCGTATTATACCGGCTGAAAGGGTCGCATTTATCCTGCACATTGTCTCGCGATTCTCCGCGGAGTCTCTCGGAAACGACCTCGTTCCCGATCGTAAAGGGACGTTCACGCCGAAGCGGAAGTCTACGGTTTCCGCGGCCGATTCCGCGTCAAAATGTCGAACAGACGGCTAGAAGGATTTCATTCCGTGACGGAAACGCCTCGAGGAGCTTTTATTTCCGCGATCATTGCTCGCGGGGTGGGTGCGTATTTCTCAGCTTGCGTAGCCGCCCGTGGATTCATTTTACTGTCGCCGACAGTCTTTCCGGGATCCTGGGAACACGGGGATCGGAATTACGGCGATCGAATCGAGATTTCGCGGTATCCTTCTCCTCTCTAAATTCGACCGCTGATAGCGCGGCCTTTATCACCTCGCGAACAATCTATATACCTGGAGAGCTGGCGTCACGAGTTGGTTATAGTACTTTTTCAAATTTACGACGCAAACAGGCACTTACACCCTCTTCGCGGGTCTTAATAGTCCCGAAGAAAGACGTTCGGCTTTACGAGACGTACCTTTTAATATCGCCTCGTAACTTTTACGTCCCGGCGCGAACTTTCCGTCAGATCGGTAGTTCGATTTCCGTTGTATCGGGACGTCCCGATGGTCCATCTTCGCGCCGTAATCCGAGTTTCACGTTTTCCAGAGTTTCGCGAGGGCTATACCGAGCGGTTTAACGACCGGCCTAAGAATCCCGAGCTTCGACGGGAACGGTGGTCGAGGGAATTAAGGGAGGGTCGAACACCCTATACATGTCGGCCGACTTTAAAGAACAATTCCTATTTATGCGCGACTGAGTTGACGACTTTACGAGCATGACGATTTCTCGTTACAGGTGGAAATGAAGGGCATTTCCGGGCCGATTGAATTCAAGGAGGGGAGGAGGATACAGTTCAAGCTGGACCTGCTCAAACTCAAGCAATACTCGCTCGTTAAGGTACTTATTTCTCACTCTCCTTCGATTTTTCGAATCGGTGTCGAGTACCTTTCCTCCCTTAAAAATCTCTTTTTTTTCCAGGTCGGCGAATGGAGACCCGGCGCAGGGATAAACGTCACCGACATGTCGGCTTTCTTCGAGCCTGGCGCCGCCAACGTTACTCTGATCGTCATTACGATTCTGGTGAGTTGCGAAAGAAACAACGAAGATTTTCCCAATTACACACCTCACCCGTATAAATATGTGTACCCGATCGATAATCGGGATCACATAACGTTCATCCATCGGCTTTCGCTTTCATAACTCTCGCGATAAATGCCCTCTCACCCTCGATGGCATAGAGGGCGAAACAATTAACGACCCTCTACTAAAAGTACCGTTTGATCTGAATTTCATAGCGAGGATCACGCATGGCGACCTTTGATTTGTCTCATTATTTCCCATTTGTTTTTCACCTCGAAACTGCCAACGGCGTCTAAACGAAAATCACCCGCGCCAGGAGATGCCGTACGTGATGATGCACTACGAAAAGAACTACACGGGCAACTCTCGGTTTTACGGTTTTTGCGTGGACCTCCTCGAGGTACTTGCAAGAGAGGTGGGCTTTTCGTACCGGATGGAACTCGTCCCGGACCGGAAGTACGGCGCCCGGGACCCGGAAACCGGCGAGTGGAACGGCATCGTCAGAGAGCTCATGGGACATGTATGATTTGGTTTGTTTAATTTCCATCCTCTACTCTTACCTTGCCCGTACCGGAAGCGCCGAGGAGACGACCCCCTTAAGAGAGAAGTGTCCTTTGAAAATTCAATACACTTAACCCGGGTACGTGATGAAATTTCTCCTCCACCTTTCCCGCGCCTTTGACAAATTTCCGACATCTGCGTTCGTCACGGCAATTTCGAGCCATTCTTCCTCCTCCTTGGTAGGTGTTTGGCTTTGAAAGGAGTTTCGCTCCCATTATACGTTATCACCTTACGACCGCGATTACCGCTTCGAGTTTTGACAGTCGCGAGGATGTACCCTCGGGTGGCATCTCCAAAGTCGAATCCGGCGTTGCGGACTTTCACGGTGTTTCGAGAAATTTCCTCCCGAATCCATTGTTTTAGACGTGGCCGCGGAATTGCCCCGGGATTGTTTTGGCAGCCACGTTTTCACTTGACGGTTACGGTTCGCAGTTAACCGAACACACTGTAGTCGTGTAAACTTACCTATACCCGTACCGTAGAAATGCTTATTGGTGATGTTGGGTACAAGCGTTTTGCAGTATGGCTTGCTTTGGAGTACAGTAGTCATTCGCGTAGGGTATTAATAGGCGATGCGAGTACAACCGCGTCGTGGTAATTAGCCGTGTCGTAACAGTTGCTCGTAGCCGTTAGCAATTTCGAGTAGATCCGAGGCGATTCCCTATCTCGAAGAAACATCCCTCTTAGCTTCGTTAGTTCAGCACTTGAATCTCTCAACTCCTGGCTTAATTCCCCTCGAAGTTCCGTTTCTTCCTGGACGACCTCCCGATTCGCCCTATCCTCGCCTGGACAATTTTTTTCATCCCCCTCCCGGGCGTTCGCGAGAGAGAACAAAAGTTTACATCCGCACGTCCGGAAAAGTCATGGAAACTTTTTCGCGGGAAATTGGACCGAAGTTTCAACGAAGAACGGAAGCGTTCCTTCGCGACGAAGGTCCCTTAATTCCTGCTTAAACTCGGACTTTTCGACAATAACACGTAGAGGAAACCCGGGAAAGGGTAGCAGTATTTTTTTTTCTTTTTTTTTTCTATTATTTTTTCTTGCCACCACGAATAGCGATTATCTCCGGGTTTTCTGCAAACTCGTCCACGCCATGCCCACCCTCGGAACAAAGGGTTAGGTTAGGCATTAGATATTTGGCATCGATCCCTTCATTTTTGGTTGCGCCGAAATATTTATCACGGGACGCGGACTCGTGTAATGTCGAAATTAGCTTTGGCCCTCTTAGAGCTCGTTTAGTCTCGCAATAATGACTCGTCGAGAGTCGGGGCAATCGGCCGCACCGATCACCATGGAACGCCCCGGGATTCGCGTCGCCATGGTATTCGGACCGAACGAAACGAGGACGAGGTGTGGGCGTATCGGCTGATACGCGCGTGTCACCGGTACGAACGACGCACCGACGAGAGGAGCATTGTAAATACCAATTTGACCATTGTCACCGGTGACAGTTATCAGGGTAGAAGAGCGACTACCCCTGGTGATATCGGTGAATCCCGGAAAACAGGTGGACTCGGGACCGCTCCGATCGCGGTCAACCGATCCAGTCTAAATGCTCTGTTAACTGTCACCGAGTGATTCACCCCCGGGCAGATTCCATAATTTCCCTGAAAAAAAAAAAAAAAAGGAAAAATCACGCCTCGCGGTATCGACCGTCAAAAATTTATCCCCGCTGGCCGCGACGTGACAAACGATCTCCTCTTCATTTATCCCGCAAACCACCCACGAAACTTGACAAGTCCCTCGAGGAGCGCACCGTTGCCCGTTATTTCGGTCTCTGAGCGTTAGTTAGACATCAAAGAGAGGCGAAGCAGGAATTTTCAAAATGGCGCCGATTGAATCGAGGGCAATAATGGTAAAACGAGTCGAGGATAGAATCGAAAAATCGCCGCCGGACTAATTTCTCGTCGCGTCCTTCGCGCGATCACCTCCCGCTCCTTCGCTAAAAGAGCTAGAGAAGCACTTTTACTGCTCCCCGTAGGAACAGCCGTATGTAATGCTGCGGGGCCAGGGCAACTACACGGGGAATGCACGGTACGAGGGGTTCTGCATCGATCTCCTCAAGGAGATTGCCCGGATGGTCGGATTCGTTTACCGAATCGAACTGGTCCCGGACGGCAAGTACGGGGTTTACGATTACGAGACCGGCGAGTGGAATGGAATCGTAAGGCAGCTCATGGACAAGGTAAGAGTCCCTCTCTACACCTCGGCTACGCTTCCGACCTCCGAGCGGGCGAAATTACCTCCCACCTACTCCACCTAAATTCGCCCCTCCTAATCAGGCCTCGAGGCAAACGCGGAGGGCAGAAGTACGTGCTTTTAGTTAATGCAGAATTTTTTCCCTGGGATTTCCCGGCGTCCGAGTTCGCCGATCGAGCGGATTTTTATTCCCAGAGAATTTTGAGTTCTCTCTCCCCCGGTTTACACCGGGGCGCTAACTCTTTAACCTCGTTCCTGTCTCCCTCTCGTTCTCCTTTCGTCATCGTTTCTGCCGAATATGCGGATTCGAGAAACCTACGTGACTATTTTTTGCGGGGGTCGCGGCAATTCAACGGAATTGATTCGATCAACGGCGGCCGCGGAGGAAGAATTTCCCGCGGAATTTCGAGCGAGAGGAAAACAGCCGATGCGCCTGTAATAATTGCCGGGGAAAATTGAAGCGGTCGCGGTTTCCAGTCGCCCCCCTCGCTCGCGGTTCGGGTTTGATTTGCCCCTCTCTGTTGGCAATCATTTTATTACCCGGCCTCCGGGGAAGAAAAATTAAACTCCTACGTTAACGAAATGAACGGTAAACGTCTCGTTGGCCCTTTCGATCCGCGGGAAATTCGAAGTGGACGCCCCCGAGCCGATCGACCGGAATTTCGAGAGCAGCCTGGCTCCAGTCGCGGTAAACTTTATATGCGCCGCTAAAAGACGGGACGCGGCATTTATTGATGTATTAAAAATACCAGGAGAGGCCATCGGTCGGAAGATCGAGTCCTCTTTCGATTCGACGAGCGCCGTGGACTCGCTTCGTTAAGCGCAGACGTTAGAGCGGGACCGAAATTTCTCCGATTCGAATTTCAGATCGGTCACCGAGTACGTTTCCCCTTTGCATTGCAAACGACCGAACCCGGAAGAACCACCGATGCAGATTTAGAGGACACATCCGAGCAGTCAATCCCTTTACTTCTTGCGCCGTTGTGCGACTTCCCCGATGACACTGGCCTGGCTCTTCGGGGAAGAGACTATTTTCATTCATTGCAAAGAGGAGGTCGCGACGGTCGGATCGCAATTGGGATAAATTCCCGTGCTCTCGTTGACCTCCTCAAGTTTGGCCCACGACGGCTGATCTCCCTAATGCCCAATTTCGCGTCGGCGTGCCCGCCAGACGCGTTTTCTTTCCTCCTTAATCCGAGACCCTCCGGCCGGATCGATCGAGCCGATCGATCGACTCGATCCCACCCTCGCTCGTTCTTCCGGCGTGCGTTTCCGCGATCCGGGGTTCCCGCAATTTCCGTAATTCAGCGGAACCGAAGGGAACGGAAAGGGGTCGGGGTCGTCCGCGGGTTCACGCTCGGTCGAACCTTCGTTATCGGACTTTTGTTCGTCGTCCATGTCGCGGTCCTTTTTCGCGGTCCTAATTAAGCCCGGGGCCGAGGATCGACGAGAGGAGCGATCGGATCTCGACCTATTCGGGGATCGAGACTTCGACGAGGCTCCTGGAGGCCGAATCCGGGAAGAAACGATTGCTCGTACCTCCTGCCGAGCCGGCGCCATTTGCACGCCGAATCGAGCCAAGTCGGTTATATCTCCCTTCGCCCTCGGGTTGTATCCTTCCCTCTCGCCTGCCGCTTTTCCCTTACTCGACGACTTTTCCTCCCGCCTCGTCTCGCTTCGTTATCGCGATGAGCGATATCTAAATAAAACCGAAACCACCAGCCGGCGATGCGACGTTCGCTTAGTCGCGCCTCGGATTTCCCTCCCGAGCTCGGATCATCTTTATCTTTTGGTTAACCATTTTTTAACGCCTTTCCGATGCTCTCGGGAAAGAAAGAACCCTCGAGGGTGAATTAAACCGCAGGGAGTCATGGGGAAGAGGGAGCCATGGGAAAACGAGGGAGCGTCCCCAATGGTTCGGCAAGTGGCAGCGACCGCGTTTTCGGAAGAATTGCCCGATAAAACGGCGAATCCTTGATGAATTATAGCTGCCAACGTTGAAAAGTAGAGCCGCCCGACGGTTAATAACCACCCCGAAGGTCGATTAATCACGGGGCGTAATTGTCGCGCTTGGGGGAAACAGCTTCTCGAAAGCATATTTCTGCGTGTCATTTTCCTCGCGTTATATCGTCGCTTTATTACCACCGGAAGTGCCGGGGAAGCCGGACATAACTCAGACGCGGTATTTCGTAAGATGAAATTTAAATCGCCGGGTGTTGTAAAACTTTCAATCGGCAGCGGTGGATAGGCGGGAGGCTAAAGACCCCGTTCTCGCACCTACCCCCTTCGGCGATGATAAAGTTATTCCGGGTTTCTTGATATGCTTCTTCCCGGGGGTTAATAAATCTTTCCCCCTCATTTCACGCTCAAAGAAGGGAAACTTTGTCGAGGCAAGAAAAATCCCGGGCTCGTCGGTCTCTTCCGGAAGTTTCTTTCGAGCGCAGGTGCGACAATGCCAAATGCGTCGGGTCGCTTATATTAATTTTCTCGGATCATCATTTGTTCTCTCCGCCGAAGCGAGAGACGGATACAAGGAGACTCCGAAAGGACGGGAACCGAGTGAAAGGGATGACGGGGGGAGGGGCGATAACCGGGGAATGGCAAAGAACGGAGAAATCGGTGCTCCGGATCCACCGCGGAAAGAACCTATTTGGCCTCGGTGGAATTTTTCAACTTAGTTAATTATCTTCCCTCCTCTGTACGGTAGAATATTTGCCAAAGAGAAGGGCTCCTTCTTCGCCCGCCCGTGCATATTTATGAACTCTTCTATGGTACACGCAAACCGCGGAGAGGAACGGATGTGGGAAAAATGAAAGACGAGGAATCCGGGGGGAGCACCGCAAGAACCAAAGAATACAAAGCGCGGGGAGGAATCGGTGCTCTCGAGTGAAATGCTGGCTGGATGGTGAAAAAGTAAGCGGATCTCAGGAACAGAGGCCATCATATTTTAGCCGCGAGGTACCGAGCCCGGGTGACAAGGAGTTAGGGTCGACGACAGGCTCGGTAGCTCCCATCCGAGACGATTTTACGCCCTCCTCTAAAAAGCGCGAAAAAATGTTTCAGCCATGAATTCCGGAGGCCTCAGCCGGATGTATTGGCTATAAAACTGAAATTTATCGAGATTAATTCACGAGGAGCATTATTTGTCCCGCCTATCGCGCCTTTCCTCCCCATCGACCCTCCTCGTAAAAGGCGCCGCCACCCAGACGGGTCCCGGTTAGTTTTCCGAACGAAAAGTGCCTTGATTTTCCCGTATTTTCCCTGAAGCTGCAGATTCTCGCGACCCCCCCGGTAGACTTCCTAATAGTGCACGATCGGCGCCTCGAAACTCGTGGATCGGCGAAGCGCGACAACGGCCACTTTCGAACAGGTGGCGGAAAATAAATTTCTCCCCGGGCGTTCCCCGCCGACACGCGGGGGCTGAATCGGGCGCTGAAAAAGCAGTTAAATATCGGAGACCCGGGCCAGCTCGGTACGGAATCTCTTTATTTCACCGAGGCTGGCGAACGCGCGCTTTCCTCGGTGGCGGCTCCCTCTTGTATCGACTGCACCGCTTGCACCGAGAGCTTTCTCGTCCCCTCTATACCCGCGCCCCGAGGGACGCCGCTCGGAGATGTAAATTCCGGCCCCGACCCCCCGTGACTCCTTTCAGCTGATCTTTTTAATCGGCTACGTCCCGATTCAGGGCGCAACGCCGTAAATGCGTCGCCCGAATGGGCGAATCGGGGAAACGACGCGTCGAGTGGTCTTTGGTCGGAGTCTGTCCTTCCTTCCAAAGGCGCGTCCACTCGAAGCCCTCGCGAAGCAGGGGTTAGATGGAAATTGGCCGGGTAACGCACGTAACGAAACCGCGGATCGTTCGCTCTATCGAGGTAATTCCCGAAACCTGTGTCTCCCGCTCCCGGGTAATTAGATCACATTGAGAAGGTAGCGAAACGTGAGTTCGGTAGTGGGTAGAGGTACAGCTTGAACGTACTTTAACGGCGGGGTAAGAGGTACCTTCGATAACACGGCTCTCTGGTTTGGTTTGTAGAAGGCAGACTTGGCAGTGGGCTCGATGACGATAAACTACGCCCGGGAGAGCGTCATCGACTTCACGAAGCCGTTCATGAACCTCGGGATCTCCATACTTTTCAAGGTGGGTATCCGTCTCCTCGGACTCGGTTTCTCGAGAGTCGTCCCCCGGAAACGAAAAGGGCCGACCGAACTGGGCTCGGCACTGGATGCGGCTCGTTTCCGAGGCGCTTCCTGTAATTTTGGCCTTGGCCCGGCGAGACACTAATGAATCCACGAGGAACGACCCCCAGAGAGCGAGTTTTGCCGGCCGAGCAATGAATTCCCCGTAATCCGACTAGCCGGTGCTCTGCCATCGCTCGCTAATGAAATCCTCCCCTGGGAGGTCCTTTTTTTCCCCGCGATTTCCAGGAGACCTCTCGAAAGGTCGCTCGTAATCGCCGGGGAATTCGGTCGGACGTCGCAAAAGTGTCGCCCGGGGCTGTCCGATCGGCGGAGGTTCAATTAAATCGGGACCCGAATTCCGTCCACGAGCCGCGATCGCCGCCCGTCCCGGTTATGGTTTCCGCGCCGACCAGTCCGTATTATACCGAGGCACGTATGCGACCGCGAGATGCATACCCTGACCCGGGCCACCTGTCTCCCGCTAATTAGAATAGGCCGAAGGCGATACGCGATGTGATTTAATGCACCGTCCGACATCCGCGATACGTCTCGCATCCACGACTAAAGGGCCGGGAACGTCGAAACGGTCGGGTTGCTCGCGAAAAATGATCCCACTAAAAGATTGCCCTCCGCTCGGCATCGAATCAACGAGCCGCGGGATCGTTCCAACGATCCTCGATTTATCGATACGGATCCGTCCGTGTTATTGTCGGGGTTAAAACTCGATACGGGATGACACCGGGTTTTCGCCGATAGCTTTGTCGTTCCCGCCGCGTAAAGCGAGCCGCAGCTGGGTTTTTGCCCGTGGAAACGAGACGTTTCAGGACACGGTACCGGCGCAACGCGGTTCGGAATTCCTTGCAAAAATGCTGGGAACTCCGTTAAAAAAAGGGAACAAATGAAAAGCCCACGCTTTGTCGCGCTCGGGTCCCAGGTGTCGATTTCTTGGCGTCAGGAGGAAAAGGATTGCGAATCGTTGGGAATTTCGTGGGGATGGTTCGAATATGCCTCGGCCTTATCGCGGCTCCACGGGGCGATAACGTCGGTCCCCTCATTGACCCCAAATTGGGGCGTTTAACTCGACGGTGCGCCCAGTGGGGTGGCCTTTCGATCGCCCAAGTGCAACGCCGGGACGCGATCCGGCGCTCACAGAGCGAGGTAATTAGGCTCGCTAATTGGGTACAGGACCCATCTGCTCCGAGTCCGTCATCCCTCCAGGAAGAGGACTCCTCCGGGCCGCTCGCGATTCGCGAGCTCGACCGGTTCCCGCGGATTTCGGAGCCCGTTTCGCGTCGAAGCTCGATCAATTAACGGTCGTGTTTGAGGAAATGCGAAAGATCAAAGGCGGCTCCGCCGACGGGGTATTTGGGATTCGGTTTCCTCCACCGAGACTCGGCTTTGATTGCCGTCTTCGGCCTCCCAGGGAACCGATCGACGTCGCTCCGTAGGGCTGGAAAAGGCGGCCCTATCGGTTTGTCTAGGAAGGGACGTCGATTTCGTTGCAGGTACCGACTAGCCATCCGGCGAGGCTCTTCTCCTTCATGAATCCTCTGGCCATCGAGATCTGGCTCTACGTTTTGGCCGCCTACATCCTGGTGTCGGTGACGATGTTCGTCGTCGCCAGGTTCAGCCCCTACGAGTGGAACGATCCGCATCCCTGTCACTCGGGGCCGGACATCGTGGAGAATCAGTTTTCCCTGGCCAACAGCTTCTGGTTCACCATTGGCACCCTGATGCAGCAGGGCAGCGACTTGAACCCAAAGGTTCCGAATTTCTATATAAGGGGAAAACCATCCGGTATGGCGAATACGGCAGAAGACTTTTATGTGATTTTTTTCCTGATTTTTTTTTTCTCTACGCATCCAGGCTGAATATCGATGCGGGAGGCAACAATGGTATTATCGACGCCGTTGGTGACAACGTCGGCATCATTTTCGAACGAAATTGAGTCGTTCCCCTCCACTCGACCCGCCGGGAAATTACGACGAATTACGCGCACCGATTATGCTCCGATTATGCTTATACCGCGACACGCGGGCGCGTTCCCTTAATTTTTCGAATTTTCACCCCGCAATGGGGGTTATCAAATTATTGCCCGACCCGGCCTCCCGGATACAATTAATTCTTTTGACAATCTACAATTCCCGTATTTCACGGGTAATTGAACCGAGACCGTATCATGAAAATTCAGTTAATTACTCATATTTCACTTCCCCTCGCGCTTCTCTCATTTTTCCTCAACTCCGTGCCTGATGCAAACGCACCGTTACGGCGGATTCCGGAAATATGCGCTAACGATAGTTTAATTTCCATCAGGCTACGAGTACGAGAATCGTGGGTGGGATCTGGTGGTTCTTCACCCTGATCATCATCTCGTCTTACACGGCCAACCTTGCCGCATTTTTAACGGTGGAAAGAATGATCACGCCAATCGAGAACGCCGAAGACTTGGCCGGACAGACGGACATCTCCTATGGGACTTTGGAAAGTGGCAGCACGATGACCTTCTTCAGGGTACTGGCTATTTATGAAAGAAAATGAGAGATAAAGCAAGAGCCTGGATTAACGATCAGAATGATTTCAGGATTCCATGATCGAGACGTACAAGAAAATGTGGCGGTTCATGGAGAACAAGAAACCGTCCGTCTTTGTGCCGACTTACGAGGAAGGCATTCAGCGAGTTCTTCAGGGTGACTACGCTTTCCTCATGGAGTCCACCATGCTGGATTACATCGTCCAGAGGGACTGCAACCTCACCCAGATCGGCGGTCTCCTCGATAGCAAAGGCTACGGGATCGCGACCCCCATGGGTAACTTTGCCAAATCGTTCGATAAGTATTTTAAGGTGAAGTGAAACACGTCGAGGAACTTGGTCGACGTAGATAAAGAAGATTTTTCTAAATGCCTACGTTGCCGACGTTGGTTTTTATATCGACAGCTGGGTCGAATTATATTGGGTATTGTACCAAATGGCATACTCCACCTGTCGTTTTCGTACAATAATTATAAAGAAATCTAAGTAAAACTCCAGAAATCCTCTGGATTCATGCTTTCTGGGGCCCTAATTGACTGCAGAGGGACCCCCTGCGCCATCTGTGATTTCCAGGTGAATTAAATCTTCACTTCGAGACCTCGTATTCCCATCGTTTTAGCATAGAAGCGCATACAACACTTTTTTTTGCCTTTGTCCCATTCAAACGCGAGTTTATCAATTACCAGAGTGTTCTAAATTGTCGTAAAATCGTCCTGACCCTTTCGATTCTCATATCAGAGCGTTCGATAATTGTATATTGATCGAAATATGAGAGCTCGACGCCATTTTGGTTCTGGCCTGGGCTGAATTAAAAAATTTGGTTTAAAAATCCAAATCTTGAATGTGTCAGGACAATTCTTAGATGATCAGGACGGATGTGTCAAGGTTTCGGACAGTTTGGTCTAATACCCTTAAAAAAAAGTTTTGTATTCGAATCGACTGATTTGAAGGGGGTTTCACTTCACCTTAAGTCTCGGGGGACGCCCCCGAGGTTAATATAGTTAGATGGATTTTCAGGATCACCCTGGAGGGATAAAATCTCTCTGGCGATTTTGGAGCTGCAGGAGAAAGGGGAGATACAAATGCTGTACGACAAGTGGTGGAAAAGTCCCGGAGACACGTGCACCAGGACCGAGAAAGGCAAAGAGAGCAAAGCCAACGCCCTGGGAGTCGATAATATAGGTAGGAAAATTCCAAATTGCCTCTAATTGTATTTCTTTTCGATAGAAATGGTACGTTAGTTTGGATATTCCTGTCCAGGCGGGGTCTTCGTGGTCCTGCTGTGCGGTCTGGCCTTCGCGGTGCTCATTGCCATCTTCGAGTTCTGCTACAATTCCAAGAGAAGCGCACCTGCCGAACGCGTAAGTTTACGCCGCGGCAGCGGCAAAGCCGAGGCATCGTTGTTGCATGTCGCATTTTCCGAAAACCTATCCTAACGAGGGTTAGACACCTCGATAGCGACAGAATGCACGCGTGCGGTAATGGAATGAAAATTAGTGGGAAATTCACCCTCCACGTTTTCACGAAACTCGCTTCAGCATGAGCTCATCGATTGAAGTATGCGACTACTCGACTGCCGGTACTTGAAAATCAACTAAATGCAGCGGTGAGTACCTTGTTACCGAACGCTATGGGACCGACCGCGAGGGCGGCTGCTATCGAAATCATTCTCGATGCCACTTGGGAGGGAGCATTTCGATCGTAAATTGAAGTGGCATCGGAAATTACATCCGCAAAATCCTTAACGTAGAGACGCGACGCTTCGAGTTGAAATCCCACTGCTATTGCCTTCCGTTAGTAAATCGTACAAAATGACCGGGTGACCGATTGGCGTTTCTCTCTATCTCCAGCAACGCGCTACGGCACCACCTACGTGTTCCGGATCCCTGCAGGGCATTCCTCAGGTGTCGCAGCAGCACCAGCAACACCACCAGGAGTCGCTTTGCTCGGAGATGGCCCGTGAGTTGTGTCTGGCCTTGAGATGTCACGCCTCGTCCCGTAGGAGACGAGCTTGCGAGAAATGCTCGACCCACGCCGTGGGATATCCTCAGGAAAACCCTACAGCGACTCCCATCAACGGGATGAGATCCCAGGTGAAGTCCTGGAGACACTGATGTAGGGACTCGTTAGAATCCGCGGAAAATTAAAGAAATATCTGGATGACCCTTACACACCGATATCGTTGTATCCGTGCTTCGTTGCAATTTTGCAGAGGAGCAGCTTGGGAGCTTCGATGGAGTTACCACCTCACATTCACATGCATCCACCTCCGCACGATTACGAGGGAAACTGAGGATGGATCAGCGATTTCTCTTGGAAATGACGGGACAGTTTCGGATCAAGAATCAAAACGAGAAAGAAGCTCCGGTAAAGAGAATTTAAAATAGTACGGACGATCGGAGTCGATTCCATTCCGAGCAATGTGCTGCTCCGTTAAAGACGTTCTGCAAAACTTTATAGAAAATTAACAAAAAACCATTCTGATGTGCGTCCACGTCCTCGTAAGTTCAGTTTTCACTGTGAATTCGTTTTGAAAGCCGGAAACCTACGGACGTCGACGTTCAGAATCTTTTGCCCGTTTCCCATTGATTTCTCCAGAAAGTTTTAAGGAAAAGTAAAGAGGTGCCAAATTGTATTTTCTAAGTCATTCCCGAAGTAAGCCTGGGTCCACCGATCGACAGCGATGACTGTTCTTAGTTACTTCAAAATTGCATTCCGCGTTTTTAATCGTCGATTGGCCCGTGGATCCTTTCTTGCTCTCTTAAACCGAGGTCTCTGTTAAAAACTTGCAACATTCGTTTGGAAACCTTGTGAAGGTTTTTCGGACATGAAAGAAACTCGAGAGATGACTTCTAACGAATGAATTCTAGGGCGCGCAGACTTCCCTCCCGAATTCCGGCGCTCCAGAATTTAGTTTCACGAGCCTATACATTGGCCCATCCCTGCCGAAAAGTTCATTGTACATAAAGACCGTCTAGTTTAGAAAGGCAGGCTTGGACCACGTGTCAATGGCATAAAGTATCATTTAAAAAAGGAAGGAAACTATGCTAGAATCGAGTACAATTTCGATATCGATGTCACTCCCATCTGTATATCAGCCAGTTAAAATAAACTTCAGTTAAAAAAGAGCAGCGGCAACGTTTCTTGATTCCGCGATTGGCATGATTCTCCCCGGTGCGCAATTCTGTTCATATTCCTTTCTTTTGACATCGGTAAACTGTCCCTGGCCCTAGCTCTAAACGAGGACGGCGTTTCGCTTCACGTCGAACAGCTGATCGGAAGGAGTCCTCCTTGACACACATGCCTGAAAAAAAAGAACAAGGTGGACAGGTTAAATAATCCCAAAACCAGATCGATACTTTTTTTTTTTTTTATATAACATCATTTATTAAGGAATAAAATAAATGACAAATAACATATCACTTATACGAAACTATAACATTTTTTAGAGCGTGTTCATTATTCGTTACGATATAAAAGAAATCACATCATACGACCCTCGCGCGTTCGACGACCGCCCCGATGATCGAGAAATCGTCGCGAACTACCGTCGCCAGTTGCGAGAATCAAATATAAGGAATACCGAGAAATGAGGAGCGAATTACGTCAAAGGGAATCGAAGCCATTACACCAATGAGTCTAAGTACCACAGAGACGTCGCGCGATCGGCCACCTTTTCCAATCGAGCACAGGTGGAGTCGCAATGGCGACCCATATGACAAAGCTAGGCTTGACCGCAAGCTTAACCGAGTCAAAGAGTCGAGATGGTACGTCGACGTGCGACAAAAGTCCGCCGATAAATGGTACGACGGGTGGCATCCTTGTTAAGGGAAACGCGAAAAAGGGAACGGATGCACGACGGTCTCAAATGACGATTCCTGGACATGGAGCGATCCGTCCTACAAGACACGCGACACGGTCCAAAAGAATATTCGAGGATATCTCGAGAATGTCCTCTGAATACTTTGAGAATTCTTAGGATAGTCCAAGAAGATTATTCTCGTAGACCTCGCGTGCTATGTAGGAGAAAAAATCCTGATGGCACAAATTTTCCAGACGCCCCGCGAACATTCTTAGGAAGTTCGAACACGCCTTCGTAAGATGCTCATGAAACGGTTCCTGGAGATTTGTGGCATCGGAGTAGCGTTGGTTCAACGCTTCCGCTTTTGGAAGCGACTTCCATTGACGATTGCATGAGAAGGGCCATGTCAAATCACTTGGAGTATCACACGATCACACAATTGTGGTGGCACGTACGAATCGAAACGCTGTGGATTGGTGGGTATAGTTTGTAAGACGACAAACGAGATTCATAGTCGAGTCCCAAGGTGGACGTACCCCGTATTTAAAAACAGTCTTACGAATCGTGCACGGGTTGCCTCGCGAACCCATGGGGAAAGTCATCGCCATGTAATTTCAGCCAAATAAATATAATGTCTCGAGTTGAAGACTCGACTATGAATCCAGTCCTCGGACTTGTGTTTGAGAGATTTCGCTTCACGAATGTGGCAGGTCCTACCTACGCCTAAGGCGAAATTATCGTCATCCTTTATACTTCCGGGAAGTCTAAAAAAATAAAAGAAAAAAAAACCACAGTTGACCGTCAACCGGCCTGTCGAAATTCTCTCGAAACCAAAATGTCCCTTCGTCGTCCCTCCGTTCCTCGCTTCCTCTCATTTCCTTCCGCTCGAAAATCTCACATTCGCTCGAGTCACTTGCACGCTCTCGAATTCGCCTCATTCGCCCCTTCTTTCTCGTTTTAAATAAATTACAAGAATAAAAATAATTACTATCGGACGACCTCGCAAGAACCTTATTGCAGTTAAAGATACGCGAGCGATTTGTCTCGTCCGCCTCCGGCGCGGAAAAAAAGAAAAATAAAGGTGACTCGCTACGGGGAGGACGCCGCTTAGTCGAAGAATAAAATGTCCTCGTATCGTTCGACCGCCTCGCCTAAATTAATGGTTACCGTTTGGTCAGCGAGGGGCCGCCATAGGTCGGAGAGATTTCAGTAGAAAATAATTTCTAAAGACTCAATACTGTAGGGCGCTTCGCCGCACCCCCGCGGTGTCGAGCCTAAAACCGACGGATACCTCGGCTCCGCTTTTTCTTTGTCTAATGCCAATCGTCGCAGGTGACTTCCTTTTCTATCTTTAAGAGAAAACAGTCGTCTCTGATATGTAGATGCTGCTCTAAATGGTAGAACGCGGTAGGACGTATGTTGGTCGAGAGGTTCGACGTCTCTCTAAGGCCTTCCTCCAAAGTTCGACACGTTTATCCTTCGTCAACGAATCAATCGTTTAAATACCGACACTTCGTGATAAATGACTCTATCGCTCCGAATTGAATAAATAAACGCCTTAAGATTAAATAATAAATCCAAATTAAACGAGTAATCGAGGAAGTGATCACTTTCGATCTACGAGAACGTTCAAGGGGGAAACGACTTTAAGCAAAACACGTGAAGTAGTGGCAGGACGTATTTTAGAAAATTATGAAAATTCAAGCTTTCATAAGAGAACGAAAAGGGTGGTAATCGACCTCACTCTCGGATATAGGGAACCACTGTTTGCGAAGTTTCGACTTTGTCACCTGCGACGACTCGCCCGCCTCTTGCCACATTCGTGCGTGTACGGCCTTACGAAAGTTCTACGGTGTGTTTGATTTCCTTACAGCAGCCTTTTTGCTTTTCTTTTCTTTTCTTTTTTTTTTTCTCTATTATTTTACGTCCGCGCGTCGTAGGCGACGACCTACGGATCGGTCGCGCGTTGGTCTGAACGAGTCTCCTAGCTATTCTCGTCCGAAATCATTTTACACCCAAGGATGTCTAACCCAATCCCGCTCGAGGAGTAAGACGGATGAGCAAAGAGAATAAAAGAATACTGGTTGAAGATCGAAAGACCGATCGAGACCATGCGGGAAAAGTCATCGTTAAGAGCGAGGGTTAAAGGAATACGAGCTCGAGTCCCAATGAAAAAGCAGGAGTAGTGACCGCCCCATTAAACATCCTTGCTGTAAGATGATTTTGACATCGCCTCTACATGTTACTCTCGCTTTCTTCTCTCTTAGTACGGTATATCTGTCAACGGAAGCTTAACGTTAATTCACAGTTAATTCTCGCTATCGCCGTCCTTGTCTTGATCAACTCTGGAAAGATGTTTCTCGTTTATCGTTTCTGTCTCCTGATGAAGTTATCCTACCGAAGGCATGAAATTCGTTGATCGACTGATATCTAAACGCACGACTTTGATTCGTCGGTGGTCCGCAAATATCGGTCCTACTATCTCACCCGACAATTTTTTACCACGCAGTCTACATACACCGGTCGTTCGTGACAATGGCTATTTTTAGACGTAGCACGATACGACAAAAAAATTGCCGACCATCCTCGAGCCATTCGATACGGAAAGGAGAATGGTATTAAATTGTTTTTATATTTTTTTTTTTTCTTGTTTTCGTCATTTTCAAAGTAACGCGGTAGAAAATTCTCGGGCAAACGACCCTCGATGCCTACGCTTTGCCTCTTTCTCTGCACCCGTCCATTACTTTCACCCAGCTCGATTCTTCGACTCTAACTTTCACCCTCGTACACACGTCACATTAAACATTATCTACGATTTTGCGGAGAGATAGACGTCTCTTCGCTATCGCATTAGCATAGCCGACAGACAATGCCTCCCCGTGTACGGAAACTCGTACACGAGGGTCGCCCTAGAATCTAAAATGTTTGTCTTCCATCCTGTAGTTATACGTAGACGAACATTATATTAGCTTTCTTTCTGCCTTATACTCGGTATACGGTAATATTTGAAATTAACGAGTCTTCGGCGTATTTACAACTACGGGCCCGGCCAGGACCCCAAGCAAAAAAATGCTCGCCAAAAAGTGTATCGTTTAAAAAGCGATTCGCGTTAAAAATTCAGTGGTACACCCGCGTGGGCGAAAATCGATCTCCGAGTGCAATTTAATTTAAAATATAATATAGATCTACCTTGAAAGCTTCGCGCACCCCGACCAGCCGTTCAAGCAATATCACAAGAAAAAAGTCTCCCAGCCAGAATTTAAACATCACGATAAGCGCCTGCTTTAATTCATAATAAGCCGTGTAGAATAAAAATGGCCCTTTCACGGAATACTTTTTTTTTTTTGGCGAACACATTCCCCAGGAATCGTTAAGGGGCCCGATAAAAAAACATTGAAGTGAATTTCGATCCAGCATGACTTTCAGCCGATCGTGGCTCAACATAAACTCGTCGCATTTACATTAGATCTTGTAGCGCTATGTAAAATTCGATACAGCCCTGCGTAAACTAGTACGGAAACGCCGCATTCGGGAGACGTCGGTCTCGTCGGCGTAGCAACGTCGATTGTTTTCTCGTTTAAATGGTTAAAAGATCACACGTGACAAAGACCTAGGTATGACTCGAGATATGAATAATGTATGTATTCTGTATATGTACACACGTAGTCGAGAGGTTCCCTTTACAGCGCTTCGGTCTACGGTGACCAGGATGCAACAAGGATATCATCGAGCAATGAAAATTTTGACATTCAAGGGAATACCTCTGTACCCGCTATCGGATAATTTCTCAAATTAAAACGAGCCGACCGATACCCTGCCAACTTTTAGGTGCTTCTTAAATACTGTAATGCCAGAGTCGCGGGACAATTCTTATATTAAATGACTTTTTCCAAATTGCAACGAGGTATCCCCCTAACAGAGAAGTGGGAAAAGCGGATCCGTAAGCCCGGCATTTTGCAAAATCACAAAGGACCGCCATATCCCCGTTAAATTGGCGCTTTGATGCGCGTAAGCGAGACACAGCCGCTGTATGTCGCTCAACGTAAAAAAATACAATATTTACAAAGTAATCGAAACTTCCCTCCGATAATCCTCTCTCTGCCCCCCCCCCTCTCTCTCTCTCTTTCTCTCACTAAATTTTTCGCCATGTTTCACCCCTCTGCAGCTCCCTATAGTAGGTCTCTTTACGTCCCTCTAAGCATGTCTAACACCGAAGAAAGGAATAAACGTTCTCTACGCATTGCCGTTTCCAAAGGAGATCCTCATCGGAGCTTCGCATCGCGTTCGCGACCTCTAAAATTCATTTTCGCAGACCTCAAGGAGGACGAGTAGCTCGCCCAGCCGGATAGAATTTTTTCCAATTCTCATCGCGACCTTCAGACTTTCAAAAGAACTCCGCTTTTTATGCCTTGTCCTCAAACCTTCGTCTTCCGTAGCCTAACTCTTCGTTCTTCCCTCGAGATACGGCTACTCTCCGTCGCCGTTCTCGACGTCTCCGTACGAAATTTCACTCCATCTTAGATTTTCTCGGATGACGCGATGCCAGGCCCACGGTGAACCAAGCCGTAGACACGAGAACGAGAAGACGAATTTGCGAGGAAAGATTCGACAAATGACATACAGACGAGGTTTGCTCGACGAAGCTTAGGTCATGTACCGCATTACCGCGCGCAGGGCATACAATAATTCCGCCTGCATGCGAGCCTCCAGAATCATCAGGTTCACGTGGACCTGAAAAATAGAAACAAGAGAAATATAAATATCGTTAAAAATATCCATAGTCTCGAAGAACCTTCCAGTTGGTGTTAACATTGACCGAGGGTAAAAAGGAAGAGATGGCTCACCTTTTCACTGTGCTTGAACTCCCTCATGACGCGGTCATAATCCCTTTTGGTTACCCGCTCGGGATAGCAAACGGCGCTCTTTATGAAGGTCTTCAGGCTCCTCTCCAGCAGTTGATTCACCTCGTTGTAGTCGTAATCGTCGTGCCGAATACCGAACATACATTGTATGTAATTCCAGATGGCACGTCTGAAGCGAGACGTATCGACCTTATTGTGCGTGCCCATGGTATAATAGGTCAGATTGTAGGCCGTCTTGAACTTGTCATCCAGGAGGTTGCCGACGTCGTTGTACAGCCGATTTACCAGGGAGTAACCGTGGTCATCCCAAGAGTAATCTTGCACTCGAAAAGTAGGTATGTCGTTCAGCTGACCACGCTGCAACGAAAGATAACAAGTGTATTTATTAGGCAAACTACCGACCGCCCAGTCCTTTTCGACAAAGGCGAGGCACGATCTTTGCAAGGAGGGCTCGGGGCTTTAATGGAATTTAATCGAGCGAGAGGTCTCCTCGCGATTCCTCGGACACGAGAACGCAAACCATAGACGCGTATGGTCTCCTCGCGAGGCAGGGGATGACCCGTGAATATTCATCGTTCCCGAAGTGAGGGGAGTCGAAAGTCCGTGCACGATACGAGCTTTGCATATTCCATTCTGACGAGGATAGGATGAATTCCATTACGGGGGCATCCTTCGTGGCACGCGGAGACCACTTGGTTACTATCTGCGGTACCCTCGGGAAAGTATTCAAAAGGTGTGGCCGCTCCTCCTAAGCCTACCTTGGCGAAGTCCTGATAAATAAAGGCGGGATCCTCGATGAAAAGGCCGATGTCCGAGTCGAGGACCGAACTGCTCCTCTGAGGTGCAGCCGCAAGCTCGGCCGATTGCGACTCCACCGTCTCGAACCGCTTGGAAAGCTCTTCTTGGGTAATTTGGTACGACTCGGATTTTTCCGAGAGCCTCTTCATGCGCTCCATTAAGGTCTCCACGCCGACCTCCTGCTCGCCGACTATACTGGGCGAGGACGGAGGCGATGGGATGTTATCTGCAAAGTGCAAGCAACGATTACTCCAGTCCCACGTAGAAAAAAAAAACCATAAAAACTACTTTCAGAGTAGTCGCAAAAAAAAGAGAAAAATTCCTGGACATTTTCCACGAGTACTGGTACTCTGCCGTTCCCTCCGCGTTCGGAATAAAATATGAGAAAACTGAGTCCTGTTAGGCGAAACTTAATATCCATCTGGAAATAAAACCTGTCTGGAAATATATCTGGAAAAATGAAATCTAATACCACTTGGAAAACCTGAAAGTTAACTTCTAACAGGATGGAATATCAAAAGAGGTTGGAGGTTTGCATTAACCGGGTGCCGGTGAATATTTATCGCTGCTCGCCACCTAATTTCAATAAAGCTCCATAATGACAATGGTTGTTATTGGAATGTTAAATACGAAACTCCGAAGAAACTTACCAGTCTTACCGCCGGCGTGCGGGATTTTCTTGGGACTGCTGGAGATCTTGTCTTTGGCAGCTTGGACCTTATTGCTGTTATCCTGGACGTTTTCCTTGTAATGGTGCCCCGTAACGTTATCGAGTTCCTCGTTGATACCGCAAGAAAAGACGAAGGACGACAACGAATGGAAATGAGCCAGGAGGACGATCGCGTGCACCACCTCGGCCAGTGACCAGTTGTCCGCACCTTTGGTCAGTTTCTGCGACATTAAAAAAAAAAGATAATTATCCGCTGAACTTGATTTTTCTTGTCTACCAAAAAAAAAAGGAATGAAGAGAGAGAACAAATCCCTACCTCAATGTGAGTCTTATTTAAAAGCCACGGCCGGTGTGCCAGGATCTTATTGATCTCATAGAGATCTTGTAACTTCCCCGGTATAGACCTCAAGCCCTGAAGCCACGAAGGATCTCCACCCTGAAGAAGAAACTCTCCTTTCTGCAGATTTATCAAATAACTGCACTGGTGTCTTCCCGCCGCCTGGAATAAAAAACCTTTCTCTCACCATCTCGAGCCGTACTAGATTACGAAGGAACGGATGAGGACGCTCCCACGAAAACAGAAAATCTGCCGTAAATAAATACTCTTATCGGAAGCGTTAAGTGAAGGAAAAAAAAAAAACACCTCCAGAGCACACAAGAGACCCAGTCACGAGGATACGAAAACTCCTGCTCGGATTTTTACCGACTCGTTCGACGGACCGATCGATCATCGATCACCCTGGGGACTATCTATGTCGCGCGGGTCTACGTGTCCGCATGTTTGTCCGGGGAAATAAAATCTTTTTACTCGGAAATATCTTATCGATTATCGCTGACCGACGAGCGAAAGAGTACGAGTGCAGATACGAGTTGGAATACCCACGAACTTTATGCCCGATAAGAATTTCAGACTATCGGCAACAACACCTCAGCCATCGATCGCGGGTCAACATTCGATGTATCAAAAATTCGCGGACTCCTTCCGCGTAAAAATCATGTCATTTATCGACCCGATGCCGGTTATTAATACCGCACTTAATACCACGGATTAACTCGGTGGCCTCACGAGGAACCATATTTTTTCCCGAATCGATGTTATCGCGCCAAATGGGAAATTCCCCGCAGGCCGATAAGCCCGCCAATTGCAACTTTCGAGATGCGGTAAAAAGTATCGATCGATTCGGCCATTCGAGACGAAAAACATGTTTAAAAAAAAGAAAATCGCGTTTCGCGGTGAAATTTCGAGATCGAGAGGGATCGACCGACAGTCAAGGTTGCCCACGTGTTCTAGGGCGACCTCGCGTCGACGATAACCTCTCCTCTGCCGTCGAGGCAAATGTTGGTCATCGGCCGTCGAGTAGACAATCCGGAGGAAGTCGCGGCGCCGGGCGCTGCGATCCTCGATAACCTTCGACCTCTCCAAGAAAGAGAGAGAAAGTCTTCCCTCCGGTCGTCGACAAAGTACCGCGAGAAAATGGGAAGCGCGCCATCGATCGTCGAGTCGGCAGTCTCGAGGGCAAAAATCGATATCGTCGGTCGAGAGCTACCCCTCGCGTCGACCTACCATGATGGCGATCAGGTGGCGGTAGTCGTAAGGTAAAGGTCCATCCCCGCGGAGAATGAAGTGTTGGGTCCGAAGAAAGTGCTCCAGGTAGCTGGGATGCGAGGCCATCACCCTGGAGACATGATCCAGTCTGTTGTTCTGGACGAAAGCATCCATCAACAGCATGTGCGTCTGAAAGCAAAGGAAAGGTCCTTGTAAATCCTTTCGCCCTTTCGACGACCGGTAGGGATGGGGGGAAAAGTGGGTGGCGGCCGATCGAGAAGTTAAGGGGATGTGAAAACGGCATCTAAAAACTCTTTTCTCAAACTTTTCTACGAACTGGGTGTATACCGAATCGTGTCAAACTGTCCAACGTGAATATAGAGGCCATAAGGAAGGTCCTGACCCTCGGAAAATTTCATTTTTTATACAAATCTTGTGAAAATATCTATAAAGAAATTTTAAGAATTTTCACAAACGAGACCTCTTTGACGCCACTTTCGTGCCGCCTTAAGGTGAAGTGAAACACGTCGAGGAACTTGATCGACGTAGATAAAGATTTTTCTAAATACCTACGTTGTCGACGTTCGTTTTTATATCGACAGCTGGGTCGAATTATATTGGGTATTGTACCAAATGGCATACTCCACCTGTCGTTTTCGTACAATAATTATAAAGAAATCTAAGTAAAACTCCAGAAATCCTCTGGATTCATGCTTTCTGGGGCCCTAATTGACTGCAGAGGGACCCCCTGCGCCATCTGTGATTTCCAGGTAAATTAAATTTTCACTCTGAGACGTCGTATTACCACCATTTTGGCCTACAAGCGCATACAACACTTTTCTTGCCTTTATCCCATTCAAATGCGAGTTTATCGATTACCAGAGTGTTCTAAATTCTCGTAAAATTGTCCCGACCCTTTCGATTCTCATATCAGAGCCTTCGATAATTGTATATCGATCGAAATATCAGAGCTCGACGCCATTTTGTTTCTGGTGTAGGCTGAGTAAAAAAAATTTTTTGGAAAAATCCAAATTCTGAATGTGTCAGGACAATTCTTAGATGATCATGATGTGTCAAAGTTTTGGACAGTTTGGTCTAATACCCTTAAAAAAAAGTGTTGTATTCGAATCGACTGATTTAAAGGGAGTTTCACTTCACCTTAAGAGACCGGCAAGTGACGCGTCTCGTCGGGGTATTATCCGAGGCAGGGACGACGAGAGAAGAGTCTCGTCTCGCGAACGGGTCGCATTGTTCGTTTTCGAGGGGGAGCCCGAGAGGCCGAAAACCTGTCGAAGGCCAGGGACCCGTTCGCTCCCTGCCGATCCCCGATCGCGCAATCAGGTGTTTACGTTGCATCATCCGACGCACCGTCCACGCACCAAGGCGCGGCGACCCGCACACGCCCGTGCAATATCAATATACCGATGGGGACCGATGCGAGTAAACCACTGAAACGCGCCATTAATACCCGCGAACAAAGGTCCGCATTATGCGAGGAAGGCTTTCTAGGACAAAAGATAAAGCTGCATGAATATTAACGCGACACGGCCGCACTTTATGACACCCATGCGCCGCGGAATTCCTGTAACGAGGAGAATAACGCGAAGGTGCCTCGCGGATCTTCCGAGACGTGGATTAAAAAGAATTCGTCGGATGAAAAAAATTATTAATAATCGAGGACCGAGAGCGAATCCGCGACTCGCGGCTCATCTCGCCTCCAGCGACCGCGCGCTGCCAGGGCGAACGGACGAGACGCCCCCTGGGTAAGTAATGTCCGCTAATTCCGGGTAATTCGCATAATGCCCTGGTAGGAACTTGATACGGAGTCGTAACGAATCGTTAATGCGCCCGCTCGTCCGACTTCGCGGAGTCCGAGAGAGCTCGGCTCGCGCATATCCGCCGAATCGTGGGCAATTCCGCGAGTTGCGGGCCAAAAGTGCCCGACAATTTGTTGCCACCGCCTCGACGGTCGACGACCCGAGGTTTCGCTTAGGCCGAGGCCACCTATTCGGATATATCGGAGAATCGTCCCATAAGAAATATCGACAAAATTCGGCAAGCGTCCAAAGGGACGGCGCGATGGCGAGGCGCATGCGCCGATCGCACCTGCGAATCGGAAAACGCAAAGGTCCGATTTGTGCCCATAATTATGAAAGTGGTCTAGGTCAAAATTAAAAAAATATGAGTTTATCAGTTATTTCAAACGAAATTAATTCAATGTAATTTCGAAACGAAAAATATATGACTTAGACCACTTTCATAATTATGGGCACATTTATTCCCACGAGTTACGGTGGGGATACTCAACAAGTGTCTCTCGTCCGGGAAGAGGGGAAGCAAGGTGGCGTCGTTAGGTGATCCCCGGAGAGGGACCGCGAAGGGGGAAAAAAAAGAAAAAGAAAAATTCTGCGAAAGTATCGCCGGCAGGGCGACGGGAAAAAAGTCCCGCGTACGGTGCCGGGAAAATCGGGGCGAGGAGAAGATGGCCGAAAAAAAAAGAGAGATTCCCCGGAGTCCTGGCATCTTCCTCGAATACCACGCGATGGAATCTTCGCAAAGGTCGCTCGGGACGCGGAATTTATTTCTAGCTCGGGCATATCCCGGGATCATCGGACACCGAAAGCCGCCGTTAAATCCGCGATTACTCGAGGCGAAGGTGACGGGATTTTTTTTTCGTCCTCGGGCGGCATATTCCGGTTCTTGGCGCCACCTTCCCGGGATCGGCGAACGAGGGCGCAAAGCGTGGCGGAAGATTCCACTCCGCGAAACGAGGCCGGGAGGATACGTTAGCCTTTAACCCCGGTTGACCCATCCGAAAGCGGTTCCCCTGATAGCCGCGCGGAAGGGAACGAAATTCCCCCCCAAAAAAAATTGCAACCATTGCAACAAACTGCCCCAACCGTCACCTGGACCCAGTGTGAGGTTGTTTAATAAATTAATAATTAATAAAAAAATGTTTTTATTAATTCAAAACCAGTGATATTACGTAGTTGGACACTTTTGGGTTTACTTTCGTCCCTGTGTCTCTATAACATTTTTTTTATTTTATTCTACTAACTAAACATTTGGTCATCCAAGTCAGTTAATAACTGATTGATATCAATTTGCCGTTTTTTATGTTCGTTTGATTGATATTTTTTTTGTTCATAATCAGAATTGTTAATAGTGATTATGTTATTGTCAGATACTTTCGTATCTGTCTTTTTTTTTTTGCGGTTCATTAAAAGAGCATTTAACTGTTCGCGTTGTTCTTTTGCTTGTTGGCGGTGTCACTCCATACTTTCCTTAACGTTTTTTGCCATATAAAGAGAATTAACAAAACCCCCAGGAAGAGCGTTGGCATCAGAGGGGCAAATGGCCCGAAAAAGCCAGAGATTCCGGCAGCGGTCAAAGTAAACAACGGTCGCTAACGTCGCGCAATTAACGACACGCAAACCGGGCCTACTTCTCCTCGAGATCGCTCCCAAAGAGGAATAAAAAAATATATATACCAGGAAGAAAAATAGAAGAAAAAAACATTTCGGTGCAGGGAGTGGGCAGAGAATTCCCCTGGGGACGACTTTTTTGGCAGGACAACCTGGCACGAGGCCCCGCCAAAGATAGACCACGAGGAGAGACTTTGGCTGACCCATGGCGCACCCTCTTCCCTCTCGACCTTAAATTCCCGACGTCGCTTCCCGACTAATCGCGATCGAGGGATGAAATTCAAGGGGGGTCTCCCCGCTTCGCGAGGTGATTTCACGAAGTCCTCGACAAGCTCCAAATGTCGAGGACTAATTAACACTATGCCGTCCGGCGACACCACAGTGGTGACGTGCGCAAAGTAGCGGTCAACGGCCGGTGACACCACAGTGGTGATGTGCGCAAACTTTTGGCCAACGGCCGGCGACACCACAGTGGTGTCGATAACGTCAAAAACGGCCGGCGACAAGTCAAGTGATCCGAATTAGCGCTGCCGGCGCCAAGCGAATAAATATTTACGAATCGTGCGGACGGCAAAGTGTTAACACGAGTGGAACGTCCACTTATCGGCTCGTAGGAGGGATTCGTCGCTCTAGGGCGGCCTCCCGTGCGACACGCGGGGTAAACGTAGCGGAACGAGGACTCGGGGGTTCAGAGGGTAAATTCGTAGATTAGGGGGGGCGACGGTTCCTCGGCCGAGAAGAGGATACAAATGGTCTCGCGTGCGCAACCGAGTCGGCGCCGTCAACGTGACAAATGACGGGCCGCTCGTTTGACGAAGAGCTTCCCGGTCGATCGGCCGAGCAAGAGGGGGAACCCATCTCGCGGCGAGTCGGAGAGGGACGAGACGATCGAGAGTGAAACTCAAATAAGGAGGCTTAATGACCTTTTCGTTTCGACACCCGGAATCGACAAACGTTAGAAAATACATTAGAGGGGTCAGGGAGAAATCCCGATACCGTATCCAAACCCGGAGAGTCCCGCAAAGGGACTCATCCTAACTTATCCCATAATTTGCCGTAAAGATCTCTTTCGCGGCGAATTTTTTTCAGCCCCCTGCTCAGACTAAACTTCCTAGGTGGTCAGTGATCGGCGGTGCCAGGAATACCGACATCGTTAATTTGTGGCCCGTTTCGTCGCAAAAATTAAATTCTTGACATTAATCCTTGTAATTCGCTCTTCCGTCCCAGGGGACGGGGAAAACCCTCGGGTAGGAAACTCAAATCGCTCGTCCTCGACGGGTACTCTCTTCCCCGAGGAAAAGGTCCCTCCTCTCGACCTCGCCGAGGATCAAACGAGAACCGTACTTTGACCTCTTTTCCGAGGCCCGGCCGTGACTCGAGGAACCTCAAACCTCGAACTCTCCGGAGGTCCCTCCAGAGGCTCACAACCTTAGAGATCCGTTACCGTGTCCGAATCGATGCGGTGAATAAACGAACCACGAACCTCGAACCTCGCGGACCTCGATTCTACTTCCGCAAGGGGACCTCCACGCGGAATGCTAACGAGACCCCGCTAACTTCCTGGGGATATTCCTATCCGCACCCTTCCATCGATCGGAGCAACGGGGGAGAGAATCGACATTGGGAAAAACTAATGTCAGAAAATTCCTAAAAATTTCTCAAAATTACCAGACCCAGGAGAAAGGAAAAAAAGGTGCTTCCGCCCCCCCAGCTATCCGTTACGTAATCGCAAACGATGACATCAACCTGTCCGTGCTCCACCGA